CGCCCTGGTCCCCAATTGAGCCCCCCCCCCCCCCTGTGCGCCCGACAATCAAAACCACCACCACCAAGTCCAACAGTCCAACTAACCCACCTTGCGTCGATTAGTACACTGCCGCCGCCAAAACCTCTAGCCTCGATCCCACCGCCAAGGCCCTCAGCAACCTGAACGCCATTGTCGACAAGGACGCCAAGCTGTCGCAGATCCTGGCCGCTCCCACCCTCACCGCCGGGGACAAGTCGGCCATTGTCGCCGAGCTGGCCAAGCAGGCCGGCGCCGGCGGCGAGACCGTCAAGAACTTCCTCAACACGCTCGCCGAGAACAACCGCCTGGGTCTCCTGAAGGGCGTCTGCGAGAAGTTTGGCGCCATCATGAGCGCTGCCCGCGGCGAGGTCGAGCTCAAGGTCACCAGCGCCCAGGTATGTATTCCCGCCAAACCAAAGCCCACCCCGTGTGCCATTTGGCTAACGCTGGCAACTGTGACGCACAGCCCCTCGACAGCAAGACGCTATCCCGCCTCGAGACCGCCGTCTCCAAGTCCCAGTATGTCGGCCAGGGCAAGAAGCTCAAGGTCACCAACCAAGTCAACTCGGACATCATTGGCGGGCTTGTCGTCGAGGTCGGCGACCGCACCATCGACCTGAGCGTTTCTTCGCGCATCGCCAAGATGAACAAGCTCCTTACCGATACTCTGTAAATTTAATACACCGGCATATTACAAACTCTTTTTTCTTTTTTTGTCCCCTGTCCTACGTCTGCATACTCCTTGCCTGGGGGGAGCGACGGAGCAATCTCGTGTACACTTGATGTATGAAGGGGAAAGGGAAGCCTGTCGTGTTGGTGGGCTTGAGATGACGCTGAAGTGAGGTGGAGTGAATAGAAGCATTTACACAATCTTGTCCCCGTCTTGATGATGTTGACTGATGGTTTTCGTAACGCGGGCACCCGTGCCGTACCCCCAAACTCTGCGTTATTTGCCACAGCGAAAAGTTGCAGCGAAAAAATCTGCCAGTCTGGTACTTTTGTTCCAATCAGTGTATTTGTATAGACATGACGTCCATGTCTCACTTGGCCATTACGTCGTACGGTTCGAGCGAAAACATGACATTCACAACGTGTAGCCACAGTCTCCCCAACGTTCACAATGCAATGATTCATATTACTATTGCATCGTATTTAATCACATCTAAGCCTCGGTCTCGTACTCGTCTGCGTGGCCCCCGTTTAAGCTCTCGTCCTTGTATCTCTCCAACTGATCTGAAATATACCGATGCAAATGCGAATCCGCCTCCTCTCTCTCCCTAACCCTCTCAGGGTCATCGTGAAATACCGAGTCACTAGTCGAATGTGCGTCATCTTCGACCCCGTTAGCAGAGGCGTCAAAGTCGCTCCGGGCCCCGATGGACCGAGCCGTCGAGGAGCGGCGGATTCGTCGCATGCTAGGGGACCGGGGCGTGCCGAGGTCAAGGCTGCGCTGGAACATGTCGTCAAAGTAATGGGCCATTGCGGCAGACGGCGTGCGCGGGGTTTGGGGAAGGCGGCAGTTTGTACTGCGTTTATTAGCTCGTGCTCAAACGTCATACGGTGTAGTACAGGGGAGAAGAGGAGTGAGAGGACTCTTACCCAGTGTCGTGGATCATTCTGGCAATAAGACCAGTCCAGCCGCATTGATGCGTGGCACCTAGCCCGCGGCCGCTGTCGCCGTCAAAGAACTCATAGAACCAGAGGTAATCCTTCCAGTGCTCGTCGAAATCGAGACGGTCGTCTCCGGCATTGATGCTGCGTCTTCCGTCGTCGGTGCGAGCAAAGAGATGCTGGAGACGGTGCTGGATCTCCTCTGCCACTTTGCCCAGGTGCATGTACTCGCCGCTCCCGGTTGGGCATTCAACCCGGAACTCTGGCCCGTAAAAGAGAAAGAACCGCTGGAGGGATTCGACCAGCAGGAAGTTTACACAAAGCCAGATTGGCCCTCGCCAGTTACTGTTGCCGCCAAATAAACCCGTGTCTGAATCGCCGGGAACGTAGCCAACCTTGAATTGTTGGCCATTCACCTCCATGGAGAAGGGGTTTTCCTTGTGGTATTTGGACAGAGATCGAATCCCGTGGTCACTGAAGAACTCATTCTCGTCGAGCATGCGCTTGAGAATCTTCTCCAGCCTGTCTTTGCTTACAATGGAGAGGAGTAGCCTGTTTCCTTTGCCTCTCTTTCGTATACTTGCCATGTTTCTCTCGGCCAAATCTTCTCGGTGTTGTACGAACCATTCTACCCGCTTGCGGAACGACGGGAGCTTGTTCAGAAGCTCTGGTTCCAAGGTAGCAGTTGCGTACAGGGGAATGAGACCGACAAGAGATCGGACTGGCAGCTGCTGGATCCATGGGCCACCCCAGGAGATGGCGTCGTAGTAGAAACCATCTTGCTCGTTCCAGAGAGACTTTTCGTCTTTGTGCCCCGTCCTGAAAGTCATGGCATCGCTGATGAAGATGAAATGCTCAAAGAACTTTGAGGCAATGTCCTCGTAGATGCGTCGGTGCTTGGCTAGTTCAAGCGCAATGTTGAGCATAGACAAGCAGTAAAACGCCATCCATCCCGTGCTGTCTGCCTGTTCCAATACGCCACCTGTGGGCAAAGGTTCCGACCGATTGAACAGACCAATATTGTCGAGGCCGAGGAAGCCACCTTCAAAAATGTTTTTGCCATCGGCATCTTTGCGGTTCACCCACCAGGTAAAATTGAGCAGCAGTTTCTGAAAGACTCTTTCCAAAAAGTCGAGGTCTTGACGTCCGTACATCTTTCTCTCGATTTTAAATGTTCTAAACGTCGCCCAAGCGTGAACGGGGGGGTTCACATCCCCAAAATTCCACTCATATCTGCAAAGATGAGTTAGTTATCGATTGCGTTGAGCCAAGCACATCGTAGGTTATCTTACGCTGGCAGCTGCCCATTTGGATGGCAATACCACTCTCGAGTGAATAAATCCAGCTGCTTTTTGGCAAAATCGGGATCAATCATGGCCAAGGGTATACAATGGAATGCGCTGTCCCAAGCGGCGAAGAAGGGATACTCCCAAGAGTCGGGCATTGACAGGATATCATCACAATGCATATGTTTCCATTGGGAATTCCGAACACCCATTCGATCCGGAGGCGGCGGCGGCGTCGATGGGTCGCCCTTGGCCCACTGGTCCCAGATGAAGTGGTAATGCTGCTTTGTCCACATCATTCCTGAAAAGGCCTGTCGTTGAATGTTGCGTAGGTCGTCAGTCATGGGGAGGGGACTGATTCGGTAATAAAAGTCATCCGCCTCTTCACGTCGTTTCTCAATAACGTCATCAAATTCTTCTTCATCCAGATATGTCATGTTCTTCTTGCTAAAACGGAAGCGGACAACTGCGAGGGTTGGGGTCAGCCTACCAATTACAGACCTGACAAAGGGGTAACTGTTGTTTGCCATACCTGCGCATTCACCAGGGTTCACGCCACCATCCTCGTTGAAGTTGAACCAAGCAGCTGACTTGGTGCCAGTTTTACTAGGGTTGATGGCTGCCTTTTCCCCACCGACAACATATCTATGGAACGCGTCCTTCACATAGGGCTGCTTGTTCTTTTGCTTGTATAACAGCTCATAGTTTGTGTCGTTTTCCGTAAACATCCACAGAGGAATCACGTCCTCGCCACTTGATCCGACTCCCGGTGAGGGCGAGTAGTGCACATATCGGTCTCCGCGGCTATAGTGCTTTGATTTGGCGGACAGCTCAGATTCTGCAGCAATGGACGGTCTCTTGTCTTCAGATTCGTGGCCCCAGCTCCACGTATTGCGAAACCACACTTGGGGTATAATGTGGAGAGGTGCTGGGTCAGGGCCCCGGTTCCAAGCGGTGACTCGAAATAGCAACTCGTCAGGATCGTCGGATTCTTTAGCGGTCTCGATGAAGATGTCCCAATATCTATTTTCGTCAAAGACACCAGTGTCGATGATTTGATATTCCTTGTCTTCCTTGCCTCTCCGACCATTTTCCTGTATCAAGTCTTGGTATGGAAACTTTTTCTGCGGATACTTGTAGAGGAATTTCATGTACGAGTGCTGATTGGTTAGTTTGGGTTATGCTGAAGGTATCTGAGATGTTCTTACTGTCTGAAATGGGTGTTAGCATCTGTGCCACGGTTGTCAAGTCTTGTCCAAAAAAAAAAAAAAGAAAAAGAAAAAAAAAGAAAAAAAAAAAAGAAAAAAAAAAAAAAAAAAAAAAAAAAAAAAAAAAAAAAAAAAAAAAAAAAAAAAAAAAAAAAAAAAAAAAAAAAAAAAAAAAGAAGAAAGAGAGCAACTCACAGGAGTATTGTCTACGTGAAAATGCGCTTCCTTGATGCTCTCGCCATGATTTCCCTGGGGGTTGGATAGGCCGAATAGTCGCTCTTTGAGAAAATCGCTGCATAAACAGTTAGCTTGAGCACGGATTCCGGTCTACCGCCAAGCAGTGACGCACTCCTCTTCGTTCCAGAAGCTAAAGGCGATATTCTGGAGACCGTGCGTGTCGGAGACACCAGCAATGCCGTCTTCACCCCATCTGAAGGCACGGGATCGAGCGTGTTCATGAGTGAAATCTAGGTTTACGGTCAGGATTTTGGCCTACGACGGGAGAATCGGGCGATTGGGCCATGAGAAGGGCTTACGGCTCCAGGCATCACCATCTGCGCTGTAGTCCTCCCGCACTAGAAGCTGGTCAGTACACCACGGCAACACAACACTCTGGCAGGCAACAGGTGCGCACCTGTAGCCCATTGCCGCTCGGCAACATAGGGACCCCATTTCTTCCAGTATTTGGTTCGCTCGCGATCCTGCTTGAGGCGTCTCTCCTCCTCGGTAAGATACTCGTGGCCGTCAAAGACAACCATGGTACCAGGGTCTGGGAGCACGAGGTCGATCACGTCACCTCAGTTGGATGGAGAATGGAGCAATGGAGGGAGTCAACAGCAAATGGAAGTAGAGCGTAGAGCTGGCGTTGGATTAAAAAGAAGCAGTGAGTAGTGGCACCAAGACGGAGAGCAAGAAGGTAGTTTGAGAGCTCGTGGTGGAAAAAAAAAGCTCTCGGTCGGCACGATGAAGGCTTGGTTATGGTGTGCTGGTGTCGGACGCCACTTGGTAAGCTCCCGCTCACTTGCTTTACAAAGCTAGGTTCTATCAAGTTTGGGTTGGATCCAGGTCGTCTCGGCGTAGTATAGAGGAGAATTCAATTATTGCTTTCCTCGTTGGAGGACAGACGAACGGACGTGGGGCAGATTCTTGATGGCGGGGCACCGTGGCTGGTGAACAGTCATGATTGATGGAGGTTTAGGAGAGCTCGTTCTTATCGGGCTATTCCTTGCCAGTGGCTTAAAGGCGTTGGGGCCGTTTTTTACTGTGTATTACCTCGAGCGTCCATGACCTGTTGTTCATGCCGATAGTTAAGCCGGGACACTACCTAGGGAGTTGTATCGTGAAGAGCTCCCGATGTTCATGGTCTACAAGATTTACACTCGCTTCCCCACACGGATGAGGTCTGACGTCTACAGTTTCCGCAGCCATCGGGCTGTACAATTGCATTACGGAGCACAATACAGCCAGCTCTTCGATCAAAGACAGGGGCAAGCGCCGCATTGTAATGGGCCATTGTGCACTGTCTTCCAATGAGACGGCAGCCTCCCCCCCTGGCAGCAACGGAGCTGCGTTCTGCCAGGCAGGGAACAGCGACGCAGCAGCATGTACAGTGATGTCGTCGAGTCGTCCCAGGTAAACCACGTCGTTGAGCTCAACTCAAGATGGCAGATGGCGGCTTCGATGAGGTTGCTAGCGTCTTGTCTCGGGTAGTTGATAACGAACTGCTCAACTGTCGGGCGCTAGAGAGTAACACTTTGCCTCATGGCCTATGCTTGAATGCAGAGTGTTCGAAGCAAGACTACACTCCAGGGCAATCCAGGCCACCACGGACCGCAGTCGCTACGATTTCCGATGCCGCAGCAAGCGTCGTCTTGCGTAATGGTTCTTGGCTTGCGCACTCGTGATGGAGACGTGATGGAAGAAGGATGCGGGCGATGAGGACGACTGTGGCGGCACCCGGGGAGAGTGCCTCAGGTAGGGGGGCTGTCCAGTCGTCCCGCATGTGCGCATCAGTTTTAGGTCCCGGCTTACCTTGCTGTAGGAGCCACACCCGCTGGAGCCCAGCACTTGGCACACCAGATGTGCACCAGCCATGGCTCAACTAATGCTATCAATTGATATAAGAATTATCATCAGCGATTGAACTCCTGCCTGGCTTGGGCTATCTTGGCATTACCAGCAGTAAGCTTCCACCTTTCGCCGGCAGCAATCCCCACCAAACGATTCCAACCGATTGAATTGCAATTTCATTGGGGGCCGTGCCAGATTACTCAAAGGGCCGCGCAACCCTTACTCACGACTTCTTTCAAATTGCGTGAGCCGACCGTGTTTGAACAGCCGCGATTGGAGCCAACACCACCTTGTCATTATTCATCCTCGAACTGTGCGGTGCCTCACCAGGCTCAAGAGCCGCTTCCGAAGGCGCGATTTCGGCTGGTTTCCACGCCCAAAGTACCTCCCACAGAGACTATAGTACGCTAATATACTCGGTACCCTAGTTGATGAGCAATAACTCATAGCTTCGATAGGGGTTCTGGTTTCGAACGCGATTCATCCGCGCATATGCTACAGAAATTGAAAAAGAGCTCCGCAATCTTCTTCTTCTTCAGGTCATCCCATCCAGCACAGACCCAATTACCGGCAAAGTTGTCGGTCTCCTCCCATCGCCATTACGCGCTTGGGTCGAGAGGTTCTTTCCCGAATGGAGTCTACCACCCTGCCTTGCCCTAAAAGCATGTAAAATGGGTTGGGATGAGGAGTTCGAAACGGAAAAGTCAACGTATGAAAAAATCAAGAGCCTTCAAGGGGTTCGGATCCCCAGGTACTATGGCGAGTCTAAGTATAATGGGACCAGAGCCATTCTTCTGTCAGATATCGGCGGTGCTTGTATCGGTGATCCTGCGGGGGCCATTTGGGACGTGCAAGAGTTTCGTCGAATGATGCGTGATGCATTAACCGATCTCGCTCGATTTGGCGTATTGCCGGATGATATCGGGCTTGAGAACTTCCACCTTGTTGGCGATAAGGTGATGGCTGTTGATTTTGAGATGGTGTACGATAAATTTTTTGAGGAGGACCCTGCCAGAGAAGTAGAATCTCTGACTACTTGGCTAGCTAGACTGTATGCAGGCCGACAGAACGACTTCTTGGAGCATGGCAAGATAGAGGAGGAGATTATTTGCTGATTTTTTTGCCAAATATTTCCCTACTCACCAAAAGAAAAGTCATGGTGCGGAAGCAAGACGGCAATACGCCGAAACGCTGCCAGCGCTGCCAGCGCTGACATGCTGAGCACTTCCATCACTGATGATATGCAGACGCCAACTGTACACTCATGATATCCATGCCTGTGAACAAGTCAATCGTCATGATGGATCCTTCTCCCCTGTCAGCTTCACGCGCAAAGCCACGAATCACACTCCACCCCAACTAGTCTGCAGTTCCCCACTTTGACTGTTCCTGGCCTGTCAGGCACAACTCATTGACCCCTCAGCCACACCCTGCCACATGTGCAGCCGGTCTTCATTCAATCTTCACAATCGGATCCTTGGATGGCCCCAAACTCCGCCACAGCATTCGTCCTCTCACCACCCACGACCATAAATCTCAAGCTTTGTCAATTTTCTTTCCTCGAGCGATCATGTTGCGCTGCTGTTTCTAGGTCTTTATATCCTTTTTTTTTCCTCCTAATCTAAAACTCCTCCTGTCGCCTCCCCCATCGCCTTCCCGTCGCTACGGAGTATACGACTCTCAATTCCTTTTTCTACTGCCTCCGCCCATACTTTTTCCCTAGCGTAAATCCGTTCGAGCTTCCGTCCCCGTTTGCCTCGGCATCTAGACATGTCGGACGCCGTTTCCCTCCTGCGCCGCCTGATTCTCGAGTCGCCCCCCGGAGAATGGGCACTAAATCGCCTCCGCGAACTTCTGATAGGGGCCTTACGCCAGGGTCCCGTGCCGCAACATGTGGCCTTTGAAATGGATGGAAACAGGCGGTATGCCAGGAGTCACAGGATGGAAACGGTCGAGGGGCATCATCGCGGATTCGAGGCTCTTGCCAGGGTATGTTTAGCTTCACCGTCTCTCCCTCTCTCTCTCTCCCTCCTCCCCGAGCGAGCGAGCTACGGCTAACAAGGGTCATGGTTGGTGGTTTGCGCATTCTAGATTATGGAAATTTGCTACAAGTGCGGCGTCAAGGTCATCACCGTCTATGCGTTCAGCGTCGAGAACTACAATCGGCCGAAGCACGAGGTCGAAGGGCTCATGCAGCTGGCCAAGGTCAAGCTGGAGCAGCTCACCACCTACGGCGACATCCTAGACCGCTACGGCGCCTGCGTGCGCGTCCTCGGTCAGCGTGAGATGGTCCGGGAAGACGTCCTAAAGGTTGTTGACAAAGCCGTTGCTAGGACCAAGCACAACAACAAGTATGTCGTCTGTAGATGTTGTCGCCGCCTCCCCAATAAATTACAAGGTCTAACCACCACGTGCAGGACCGTCCTCAACATCTGCTTCCCATACACGTCCCGGGCCGAAATCACCACGGCCATCCGCAACACCGTCCAGGACTTCCTCAACCCGCCGCCGCCCAAAAACACGCCCTTCTCGCCCTCGCGCATCCGCCAAAAGATCCTGTCCAGCCAGCTCGACGGCAAGGAACCCCTCCCCACCATCCTCGACGCCGACGACGACGACGACGTGGTGCCCGAAGAAACGAACATGGACAACGACGAAGACGCCGGCGACTCGTCATCCACCACCCTGCCCCCGGACTCGCCCTCGCCGAGCCTCCGCACCCGCTCCTCCTCGACCAACCACCTCCCCAACCCGGAATCCATCACCACCGACACACTCAACGACCACATGTACACGGCCGCCGACCCGCCGCTGGAACTCTTCGTGCGGACCAGCGGCGTCGAGCGCCTCAGCGACTTTATGCTCTGGCAGTGCCACCAGGACACGCAAATCGTCTTCATCGACTGCCTGTGGCCAGACTTTGACCTCCAGCACTTCATCTGGGTCATGCTGGAGTGGCAGTGGCGCCAGAAGCAAAAGGAGAGGGACGAGACGAGCACCCTGGTCAAGGCCAAGAGCCGCCGCCTGGTAGAATAGACGAGTGTGGAGCAGTGTATTTATACCCCGTGCTTTTACGTAGGGACTTTTTTTTTCTTTTCTTTTTCACGGAGGGAGGCACCATGGCGTATTGCTATTTTTTTTTTCTTCTTCAATATAGATTATTTGCTTAAATTTAGTTCCATCTATACCATGTTTCATGTGGTTGACGGCGTATTAGCACCAGCTTGGGGCTTGCAACCACCGTGATTGAAAAAAATGCATGGCATACTCGTACACGATGAATGCAAAACCACCCTTCAGTCTCGGGCATTGACCCTCAATACCTACCCAGCATACATGCGCCGTGCAAAATTCGCCGTGTGATCCATATTCCAGGAAGACCAGGTCCGCCACATGATGAAATAGTTGACTACCGACCTAGACACCCTATCCAGTGCTTCAACATGATTCCAACGCCGCCCGCCCCCCCACGCAATTCTCCAGATTTACACCAGACGCCCGGGAAAGTTACAAATCAAATGGTATACAAAGACTCGCTACAACGGCACCGCGTCCAACCAACCAACCAATCAAGACTCTCAAGATGCTAGCGTCCCCCCGACTTTTTGGTCCCCATTTTCAAGCGTTCCTTGCAGTCCTCGCAGTACCATTTCGCTGCCGGGCCACACGTTAGAAAACAAAAGACTGCAGAAACAAAGTTTGCGACAGCACAGGTAAAAGACAGCACTTACTCCTTGAGCCCGGCGCAACCTTGAGCCCTACACAAGCCAGGTGGAACCACTCGCGCTTGCAGTCGTCTGCATCGCAGGCCACCATCTCGCCATAGCTTACGCTATTGCAGTAACAATACGTCGGTTCGTCGGCGTCAATGTCGCCGTCTTCGTCATCTCCTTGCATGCTGCTGCTGGCATCCGTATCCGCAGCCGCAGCCGTCTGTTGTATGAGGGCTACCTGTGCCACGGATCCGCTCTTCTTGTGGCTCTTTTTGGAGCCCGTTTCTGTGCTTCGTGAGGGGCGTGAACGAGCTGCTTCTTGGAAGGTGGCCAGCCCTGGCGTTGACGGTTTGCTTGCCCTGCCCGTCTTTGTGGCCGCTGTGGCGGGAGTCGTCTGCGGAGTGGCGGATTCGCTTTTCCCATCAGCTTCGTCTGCTTTTGCATCCTTCTTCGCAGTGGCAGGTGTGGGGTTGTGGGAGGTCTCGGGTCGCTCGTTTTCCTTCTTGGCGGGTTCCGTCTTGATGGGTGCACTTTCCTCCTTGGCCGGCTTTGCTTCTTGCACAGCTCGAGGGAATGTCGCGACTGAAGCCATTTCGGGAGTACCTTGGCCGTTGCCACTGGGTTTGTTGGGAGCCGAGGGGGCAGGCCGAGCTTTTCCGCTTTCCGCATTGGACTGTATTGAGTTCTGTCGGGCACGGGATGACGCTGGACGAGGCGCGCTGGTGGTGGGAGGCGGCGATGTTCGAGTAGGTGCTTTTGGGTCGGGGAAAGTTCCCATGACGGGAGAGGACGTGACCGAGGGTGACATGCCGTTCCTAGCATGCATGTTAGTGAAAACAGACGCCAAGGCCGGCCGATATAAAACGTGCGCCCGGGGGGGAAAAGGTGGTAGACGACCGTTGGATACATACTTCTTCTTCGCTTGTCCACTTCCTGTCGGCAAGGCTTTTCGTTTCTTGGGCCCGTCTGGCGCGGGAGTCCCTCTGGGACTGCCTGTCTTGGGTTTTGGAGCATTTGTACCAAACACAGTACTCATGGCGCCTCCAGTACCGGTGTTGGCTCCATTGACCGTCTTTTCCACCTTTCTTCTCTTTTGGGGGGGGTTGCCATTGGTAGACGGGGCTGGAATACCCAATCCCGTGCTGTTTGTATCAGCAGTGACAGTTTTTCGAGATTTGGCCGTGGTCTTCTTGGCCGGCTCCTTTTGGCGGGCCTCTAGGTCGTCCGCGTCAGAGTCTTGTTGCTGGCTCTTCAGACCCTTCTTGGCTTGCACAGCCTGCTTTCGGGCGTCGCTCCTAGCGGCCGCCTCTTCAGCAAGTGCCTGGGCGGCGGCCGAGATTGCAGCAGCACCATCCCGACGAGCCCTCTCGGTGTGGGACACTTTGCTGCCAGTTCGATTCTCGGGATATGCCCAGTGTGTAGTGCTGCCCCATTTCGCTTCGTCACTGAATTCGTTTTCCAAATAGGGCCACACATCTTCGGCTCGCGCAAGTTGTCGTTGCAAGGCCTCATTCGCGGTGGAGAGCACATGGTTCTTTTCTTCCAACGAAACTAGCATCTCTTGAATCTTGAATGCAGTCTGTCGAAAGAGCTGTCGGCGTGGAATGTTGGAGGGGTCGAAGACGCTGGTGGGCGCGGCACTGGTCTCGTCGAGCGACGGAGCTGAGGACGCTCGAGCGGGATTCAAAGCCATCCCGCTGGAGCTATTCTGCGTGCTCATGGGGGCCGATGCTGGCTGCGCCGTGCCTGAAGCGTCATTGTTGGCTCTGGCTTCAGGCAAGGATGAGTTGGAGATGGCGGCGACCAGCTGGAAGAGCTGTTCTTCGGGAGCAAAAATCTTGGCGTCGACTTCCTTGAGCAGAGTGAAGTGTCGTACAAGCTCTTTGGGAAGCGCAGAGATTGTGTCGGCAAAATGGGTAATCGCAGGGAATATCTCAATAGGCTGGTTGCCCAAAGGACGGCCATTGACAGGGCCTCGACCGTCTCCGGATCGACCAGCGTTGGCGGAATTTCGCTGAGGATTGGTTCGTGCCTGCCGAGCGGGCTGTGATCTTCGATGCGATGGCGTGTCTGCCGCCACCGGTTTCGCCGACTTCATCTTGTATGTATGCGTCAAATGTATGCTACAGCTGTAGTAGGGGCATTAGAGTATATTGGCATATGGGTATGGGCAGGTAATTCGCTGGGTTCGGGCTGCGGCGGCGGTCGCGATCGGGAGGTCAAGTGACGACGCAGCGAGGTTACGCTGGTGGGGAGCGCGCGGGTGAAAAATGATGACGAGAAAATAGAGTAGAGATGTGCAATCCTAGACCATTCTGGGGCCACGCCAAAGATTGTGCGAGCAAAAGACATACAGCTGCACACAAGGTTGGAACATGGGCGTGGAGGGGATGTGAAGAGGGCGGAAGTTTTGGTCGAGTAAAGTAGCGGGACGCAGATGAGCGCAGACGGACCAGTTGACGCAAAAGGCAGCTCAAACCTACACAGCGTGGTTTGTGGTTCGAGGTGAACTGAAGGTTCCCTACGGTCCCTACCGCTCAGGCGCCTTCAGGGCGCCCCCGCCGCATCCCGATAGGCTGGCTGACCCTAAATGTTTCTGGGAAAATAGAGGCTCCGGCGCCGGACGTGAACCAGGCACCCCGGAACTCATCCATCGGATGCATTAATCGATCTCTCTCTTCTGTCGAACTACGTTTTCATAACCAGACCAAGACGTATTAATTATATGGAAATCCATCTCGCATGGCTTTTATTTGCCTCCCGGTGCTAAACATCTACCTGCGTATGGTTAGTTTCAAGGCCTTCTTCCTGCATTTCTTCCGTAGTCAACGCTTGATCTTGCCTATCATCTTCGAAGCACCACACCATATGCGAGTTGGATGCTACTAGAGCTCTGCGGACATTGGCCAAGAGATGCTTCATGGTTTTTGGCGCCGGATAATAACTAAAAGTGACGGTTGCGTCGCCCAGCAAGAAGAGGCCTCGATGGCTTGTGTCTTTGCCCTCTCGACCTCTCACGTGACCACGCGCAAGCTACGTGTACCGAGTGCCGTCGTTTCGAAATCGTCAACTCGAGGGAGGATTGGAGCGTGTGCTCAAATCGGAAGCCGCCTGCCGGCACTTTTCCCTGGCATGACCGCCAACCCCATGGCACCCCAACTTCTGGGGAATCAGGAGGCTCTTGTGAGTGATAATTCCCGTTGGAGCTTGACGGTGAATTTTGAATGGCCGTCCAAAGCGACCTAACTTGGGAGCACCAGCCCAGACCCGTTTTCGTAGCGGCTACACCTACGGGCATCTCGAGAAACGAGCAAGGAGACATCGAAATGACGCTCGCTAGCCTAATCGCTTTGCACTCGAGAGCTACTGCCAAAGGTTCAAAGGGCACATCTGGAGAACCTTGGGCAAACCTACAGAGTATCAAAGACCGAGACCGAATCCTGGATTCTCGCCTTCTTCCCGACAAGTTCTGGCTCCAGGTGCTACGTACGCAACGAATACGTCGGAGGTATAAGCGTCGCCGAGGTAAAGTGCAGCACGGGGCCTGAGTTTAGTAGACCCTATATTTTTACATTTAATGATGATGGATAGTCGCTGGATGCTGCCAAAGGTGAACAGTTTGTTTAATTGATGACGGCTTCTTTGTGTCACGAAATTGGGTTTTCAACTATGCTCATGCTCTTCTTTGTCCGTAAGTTCATTCTCGCGCAAGTCTGCAAACTGAAAGCGCTTAATATCTGCACAGTATTATGGCGCCACTGGAACTCCCATCTCGGAAATTTCGAAAATGTCTTCATGCGCTTAGCACTTGCTGCATGTACCCCACACCGGAGACGGAAAGTATTGCGGCCTTGTTGGCGTAAATGCTGCGAGTTCCTTACCACCGGCCCAGATTATTGCAGAGGTTCGTCCGTTGTCATGACTCATGAATAGTCAGTATTGTTTGATCGACTCCGGTTCGATTCTGGAGGACATATGAGTCAGTATCCCTGGCATGGATTGACACGTCCACTGGCAGATTTATGCGTCGAAGTTGGATGAAGTCTCCCTCAGTTCGTCCTCCTCGGCCTGGGCTGCTTGTGCGTGTGTGGTAGCACTACAGGGACGTCACCCCTGTATATGCTCTCTGCAGGGGAAACAATTACACATGTTTATTCACTTCCTACACCACTGCTCGACAGAATGGTTACCTGGCAGATTCCCATTGGACACTGACGCCATCAATTTATCCGAGTTCGGCCTGAATACTCGGGCGGCAGGCAAGCAGGGCACTGACCAAGTTGAGACGAAGGCCGCTGTCGAGTGAGACTTTTGGAAGCCAAAGCAAAATATCAAGCATCACGGCGGGCCCCCAGGGTTGCATGTCTGAAACATACGGCTACCATTTCGTGTCGTCTCTTCTCCGAGTCCTCTTCCGTTTCGTGGCAACAGGATTTCCCGGTCCGGCCCCGCGTTGAACGAAGCGCGTTACTACTACTCCGTACTACATGGCAGTCTGCAGGCAAACTCTGCGGCCAGGAGGGGTCCGTTCGGCCAAATAGAGACTGTACAATGAATAACGTACTTGTTACGGAGCTTGTCTTCTTCTTCCAGATGTCCGCAGTACTCCGTACCGACCCAGAACTTGAGGTTCCCCGTATTGAGGTGCGCATCCATGTGAACCAGGGGCGGGGGTGTAGAAACGTGCATCTATTGTCACTCTGCAAATACAAGATCCGGTCCCAGGTTGGCATGATCAGCTTTGCGTATTGTGATGCTTCCCTGTCTAAATCTCAGTATCAGCGCAGGCGTTCTGTCCACCATCATTTGTGCCTGGGTACCAGTCACTTCGAACAAGTTGCCAGTTAACTCGACTCCAGGCGCATTGAACGCCACGCAAGTTCTCACCGCGATTTACTGACTGTTCCCTCGTCTCTACCCCACAATCCGCTAAGACCCAGGCGGCTGGCTTCGGGTTTAGAGATCCTGCTTCGGCGGAGGCGCCGGCGGCTATTAAACTGCCTAGCAATAAAATAACGACCAGGACACCAGGATCATCAGTTTGTGGACGGTACGAGGAGAAGCCACCCCCGGAAGCCTGAGCCAAGGCTCTTTAAGCGGTGTGCAGTGGACCCAGTTCAAGTAGAAGCAGGACGAGGCTACTCTGTGCATACATATCCTGAGTTGTCAGGAAGCCCGTTATCATGAAACAGCAAGCGAGTGAAACGTAGGGTATGGTCGTATGAGAGAAGACCAAGCGACGATTGCATGCCTAATTGTGACATCATTCGACTTACAGGCGAAGAGCCTCCATATCCCTACCACTCCGTACGTCGCAACCAGTGCGAAGCAGCTCGGCTGCTTGGTCAGGTGTAATCATCCCTATTGGTGACACAACATATGGTTCCACGGCGTTGCCGTTAGATCCAGTGTAGGACAAGGGAAGCAGACAGCGTGGGACTCGCGGCCGGTGCTCTCAGCAACGAGCTCTCCAATTTGGTTTGGAGTACGGCGCAACTAGAGAACAATTTGCTCCTCGAAGAAACAAACCAGCGGCATCAGGCCATTCGGGGCCTAGGTTAACAGCCGCATGGCGAGATGCCAACAGAGTGATCGCACTGCACAGCACAAGCCAGACGAATGTCTCTCTTTCCTCGTACTCCGTACCAGCCGCCCGGACCAGAGAAGACGAGTACATAGGTCACGAGGCCACTGTTGGCTGCAACAAATCATTCGGCCAAAATAGACGGGCGGTTACGGCCGCCACAATGCTGGGTCATCCTTGGTAAAATGAGAGAACAAGCAACGGGGATCAATTACTACGACACACCTGGAAGCGAGCAGCCAGAGGGAGACGCAAGCCGTCCGTCTTCCCCGTCCTGAATGTGCGCGCGACTGTGCGCGACTGTGTGCAAGTGAGGAGATGGCACAAGTCCACGACCCATGGCCACTGGCAGTTTTCATTACCACATCTAAACCCCGAGCCGCCGACTAAATGAGGGCTGGCTTGGGGAGAAGCCGGCGGGGAGTTGTCGACAGCACGAAATGGCGGACGCGGGTGGTGTGTGGCATTGGCTCATCCACGGCTTGGATTGCGGAGCGAGGCAACAAACACATTCGTGGTTGCAACAGACTGGCGAGGGTCTGAAGCCCGCCGTGATATTTCCTGCCAATGCCCGGTTTTATAGTTTTGCCGGTCAGGCGCGGCAGGAGCAAACGGTGCGAAGAGATGGAAATGCCGAGTGCCGAATGGCATGGCCAAAAAGAAGGCGGAAGGAACGGTGGAAGCCGTATAGCCCCAGAGCTGAGGCAAGAGCAGGGGAGCAGGTCGCAACTTGGGACGCTTCATGCAACGTCAAGCAAGCTCGTGCTCGGCCAGCAACAACAGGCAGGGGCCTGCGAGACCACCAAGCGTGCGTGGCAATGGCTACGGACTTCAGTTGGGCGGGCGGGCGTCTGCCCTCGCAGAGCTCACATGATCCGTCAGAGACCCTTTGGCGCCCCAGTCGTCTATTTTCATTACTCAATCCCTCCAATTTTGAGGCTAACGGCACGCCAGCAACAGGTCGACCCTGCAATGCCTTTGGAGGTTCCACCGGCTTCCCAAGTGGCGCAATGCGCTCCCAGAGCTCCGTATGTCCCCCGGGGCGCACCTCTGCTGCGCATGGGTCTTGGGCGAATCAGCGTCCATGATGCCAGAGTTTGGGGCAAGGCGAGTCCTGCATCGGCTGCGAGGACATCTCCAGTTCTGGAGCTTGACAAGGGCTGTGGCGTGTGCGTCGAGCTCTCGGCGCCTTGCTTCTTCTTGGTGGGTGTGTGACAGATGAGCCAAGATGGAGCCAGGCCAAGAGCAGGCTAACAGACAAGGTCTCTCTCTTCCTGACTTATAACCCAAACACCTTTGACTCAAACCCACCTGGAAGCCACCGAATTTTATTTCCATCTCGTCTGGCATCTCATTCCATGATCCTCCCTTCGGTCTCGACCACTTGACACGGCAGCGTACAGAATATTCTCGTGTCGACTGTCCTCCTCAATACCCAATCTCTCGTGACGTAGTTCGCGAGTCAGCCGACACAAGCCGCGGAGAGGCTCCTCTTTACGCCCTTGTTATTTTGT